AAGAAACTTTTCCAAATTGTATACATTTTTAATTTGAGTACATGTCTGACTCTTGTATAATCTAGGATTATTGGCTTCGCACAAAAATTAACAAAAAAGTGGAAATTCGCCTATTTTTTGACTAAAAAACTAAGTTAAAAAATAAGGAAGTTCTTCAGCGGTTGGCTTTATCCTAGTTCATACGAGAGCTATACACTCCCAGAGAAACATGTCAAAATTTGGAACCGATTGGATTATTAGTTTTTGAGTTATCGTGCCCGCCATTCGTAAAACACTGCTTCGAGAAAAATGCGTTTAAAGTTTGAGAATCGCTCTTGCCGTCACTTGATCTTCAAGTGTTCTTGAGATTTTCACTTGAAATTTCGTAGGGACATTCAAGACTTAGAGTAGATTCGAAATAAATCAAAAACATTTTGACACCGAGAAGGGGGACTTTGGTGCACCATTTACATAAAATCTGATAAAACTCATGGCATAATAATAGAAGGTAACATGGTATGATAATAGAAGGTAACAGCAAGTGTTGTTGTACAAAAAACGATACAACAATCACATGGAAATTTGTTGTTGTAAGTTCTACTAGTGTCAACTCATTTGACAGAAAAATGTAAACAAACAAACAAATTATCATCAAATTATTTTTATTTTGAAAATTAAATATTTTCGAATCCTCAAAATAAAAATTGAAAAAACATGAATGAAAATCTATCAAATTTATATTTCTATCTAGTCCACATCTTTCCTATAATTGAGCCATTGCCATATATATGTGTAACACATATGAAAATGCTGGGAATAGCGAGTTATTCCTTGAAGAAAGATTTGCTTCCTCAAACTTTCCCAGCAGGCAGATTGAGTAAATTGAATACAGGAGCACATTTAATAAACAACAATTTCAAATTGTATGCGTTCCCAATTTTCCTGTTGGGTGATTTTTAAAAACATAATTTGTCAAATTCATATTGAGACTAGTATTACGTTGGAATCAAATCAGCTGGGATTTGCTGTTACCTTTTATAATTGGACCTATACTGTACCCTATGTCAAATTCCGTGCAAATCAAAATATATGTAGGGACTTTGGTGTCTCATTTACCTTAAATCGGAGGAAATTTATATATGGATGCTATATCTAAATCTGAACCGATTTTCTCGAAACTTAGTACATATCATTCTGGACCTAATTCTGTACCCTATGCCAAATTTCATGCAAATCGAAAGATATATAGGGACTTTGGTGCCCCATTTACCCTAAACCGGACGAATATATATATGGGTGCTATATCTAAATCTGAACCGATTTTTCTTCAATTGCAAAGGGTTCGGTCTTGGGCCAAATAAGTGAGATGTGCCAAATTTCATCCAAATCCGATCATAAATATCACACGTACTTCGTTTACAATTTAACATCTACAGGATGCATAAATCGACTCTATCTCGTTTCCTTTTGCCTGTTAGCGGGTACCTACAATTTTACTTCAAATGACAATAAAGGGCTAAACAGAATGTTCGCGTTGAGCGTTTTTTGTTATCGCGTTAACGCACGCAAAAAGTTAAAATATATTTAACTCCGAAGCGCAGCGCACAAAAAAATTCGGGCGTTTGTGTTATCGTTTCCTTGTGGTTGTTGTATTTTCGATAACACATAACGCAACGGATGGCTCAACGCGAGCATTCTGCTTAGCCCTTAAGTCATAATTATCGAGAAATATTGGCCAATATTTATACCAATTATTTGTTATAATATAAGCGTAAATGTATTCACGGATAGTAAAAAAAATCCACTTGTTTTTGGTACGTTTATGTGAATTCGTACCTTTTGTGAACAAAAAGTACACTAGTTACAAAATTAAAAATAGAACAACTCTAATAACTCTCAATTTACCAATGAGATAGAAAAAAACTCTCATGGCCAATGCCCCTGAACAATAGTGTAAAACCCCACTATGTTTTTGCAGTTCATCATGTTAGGGATTTGTAAGTCGACTTTTGAACAATGAGTTATCGGAATTTTTAATAAATATATTTTCAATCAGTTATAATCGTAAAATTTAAAGAATATATTTGAGGGATCCAGAGCGTTATATATATATATATATATATATATTAATTTCTAGAGGACTATCGCGTGGATTTATTATGATTATTTTCTAAAGGATATTGACTGTATTTTTTAAAGAACTTCTAAGATTGAAGATTTTTTTACGTCAACGAATTTAAAGAGGATTTTGTAAAAATATTTTATAAGGATCCTGGTTAGGATTTTTCTTAGAAAAGTTTTTAAGAATACGGGCGAGGACTTTTATACAAAATATATTTTTAAGGATACCAGCGATAGTTTTGTCAGAATATTTTTCCTAAGAATTTTTCTTAAGAATATTTTTTAAGGTTACATGCGATGGATTGTCGGAATCTTTTAAAGATCGCGGAGTAGAGGCAGCGATGGTCCGCGTGACGAATTTTTAGGTTTTCGACTGTCAAAAAGGTGTAAACGTCAAAAACGTCATATACTTGTATAAAATGTAATTAATGTAGTAAACGTCATTTATTTGAATATTATCACTATATACAATTACTTTCAAGAATATATATTATTTATACATATATCTGACTATTCCTTACTAGAACTGATAAAAAATTCTAAACTTTTTGGAGAAGAAAATTTTGAAATTTGATATGGATTTGAGAAAAGAATACGCAATTTCCAAATTGACTAATGCAAATAGCTATTTTGTCAAAAACCTAATGGTTTTGGGTGGGTTTACGACGTTTCTGACGAATGTATTATACGTCGTAAATGTATGTCATTTATGTCACTCTTTCCGACGGACCATCTCTGAGTAGAGGATTTTTCAGAAACATGTTTAATGATTGTTAAGAACATTTTTTGGTGTGAGGATTTTTATGGATATTTTTTTAAGGCCCATACGAAGTTTTTTAGGAAGATTTTGAAGGGTTCCACGCATTTTTAATGATTTAGGTGAGGAACTGTTATGAACACTTTTAAAGGATACATGCGAGGATTTTGAAAAAAAAAAATATTTTAATAAGGATTCAGGCTATTTAAGAATTTTCGTTTTTTTTTTTTAAGAATACGGGCGACAAGTTGAAAAGAATAATTTTAAGAACACCAGGGAGGATTTTGTAAGAAATTCTCGAGAATATTATTTAGGGATAAAGGCGAAGATTGGTAGAATTTTTTTAAAGATCCCCGAGTGAACATTTTTCAGGAATATTTTTACTGATCTTGGAAAAGATTTTTACGAATGTTTTTGCAAAATATTTATTAGTGTTTATTACGAATTCAGTCGAAGATAATTTTTAGAACATTTTGAAGGTTACAGGCCGATAATTTATTGACAAATCTTTTCTAAGTATCTAGTATAGTATAGTATTTTTTTCGATCCATGTGAGAATTCCTTAGAAGAATATTTTTGAGGGATCTCCTGGATCTTTTTTGAGGATTTTTTTAAGTATTGTTTTAATTAGTACGGTTTTTAGAATTTGTGAAGAATGTGGATGACATGAATGTGAATGAAATATTAAGACTATTTTTGTTATTTATTTCTGTTCTTTAGGTTTATTGTTGCTGTTTTTATTATTTATTATTATTTTTATTTATTGTAACTGCACTGATGAAGTCTTAAAAGCTAAACACAATTGTATTTTTTCGTTTATATATCTCTATAAAATACCTGTTTTTTATGTTTGTTATAACCATTAAAATTACGAAGTTAAAATGATTTTAAAATTTAAAAATCAAATACAACATGTTCTCTACATACTACAGAATCATGAAAAATATATATCGAATGATATACACAGTATATTAATATAGCTCTGCAAAAAAAAAAAACTATAATTTACAATTAATGGAATACATATCTTACGCTAAATATTACAAAAAAATTGTGGAAAGAATAATAAAGAATAAATTAATAAAAAAAAAACAAACAAAAATAAAATTAAAACAATTCATAGCATAGAGAAGCGTGGGCGTGGGGGCGGTTCTAGTGAAGGATTACCAAACGTTATTATTTTTGAGAGATGATTTTTTAATTGAAATTTCAAAGTAATTGGAAACATATATTTATGTATACAGGAGTTGTGAATGTATAATCTGATAATATTTTGCAACCTAAAAAAATATAGGCAAGTTTCAAATTATATTTTTTAATGCCGGACATATTGCGGTTATATGGGCCTATAATAATATGTTGGCCTTTAAATGCGGTAAATTGATTTCGCCGTTTTAGGGGGATCATTGTCCTCAAGAGGAGGGCATTTTATCATCACAGAGCCCAAAATTTATAATTACAATAATTTTGGATAGAAAAAAAACGAGGCCACGACCTTTAAAATGTAAAAAAATTTCGAAACCCCTTATAGGGAGACTATGTCCAAACCTACTTTGAATGTTTTCATTTTGGAGGTTTTGCGTTCTCCTGCAAACCGATCTTTTAGGGTGACACTTTATACATTTTTGCTATGTCAGCACATGGACCAATTTTGAAAATTTTCTGTCACGAGGTGTTTAAATTCGAAATAGCTAATTATAGTATTTTTTCAATAAAAAAAAACATAGTGGTTCGCGTTTCCACAGTGGGGTCTACGATCCAAAACGACCCGAGTCACCTCAGTCCATTGTGTAAAAGCAATAGGGCTGTTACAACAACATGGTGGTTCGCCATGGACCTTTATTAACCATTTAGCGAGAAGACTGTGTAGGATTTTTTTTTTAAAGATCCCTGAGGTGAGGATTTGTGGAGATTTTCAATGAATCTGCACTCCCAGCTTTCATCTAGTATCTGGGTTGCATACATTGGCACAATATCAGATTACACATTCAATATGATCGCTTGGGTTACATAAATACGTAACTCTTCTCGTTTACCAAAAATCGCCTTTTTTTAATTCCAAATTTGTTTTTGGAAATTGGAAAAATCTCTTCGGAGAACCACTTCCCGACTTTTTCACTTCACTGTTTTTTTGCAAACCTTCTTACATATAGATGCGTCTTAAATCTTTGGGTGTTGTAATTAAATTACACTGGGGACACAGTTTACGGGCGCCCAACGAACGTAACCAACATTGTTCACAATGGACATGCCAACAGGCCACCGAAATTGCCGGATTCCGATAGTCATCCAAACAGATGAGACATTTATATTTTCCGGGTATGTACTGTTGTTCGTTGTGACGCAACTTGGCCTTTAGGGAATCAATAATTTGTTGATATTGAGCAGGCGTTTTGGGTTCGTTTTGAACGTCGTTGTTTAGAACGTCCGCCACCAGAGCTGAGGAGCACGAGGATGCTGTTGTCTGTGGCAACATTGTGGATGATGATGACGGTGTGGTTGTTGTAGATGCCGTCGCTTGGTATTCTATACTAATGTCATTATTTTTAATTATAGTCGAGGACGATGACGAAGCGGCGGAGGAAGATGTATTCAAATTGCAACTATCTGTGGTGTTAGTGTTTGTCGTCCGGTTGGTCGAACAAGTCTGCGAAGTACCTGCCGTAATCAAACGCCGCATGTACGATGTGACATCACTTTCATCCTCATCCATGATGTGTGAGGGTATGACATCATTTTCACCATATTGTGATGGACCATATATGTGGGTATCATCTTCATCCACATTGAGATCTTCTTCATCCTCATCTGCTGCCGCTGCTCCATTCAGACGATTGCTGCTGCTACCACTACCATTGGTAATAATTTGACCAATGCCTATGGCAGCATAGCCACCTTGTAGTAAACTTGAGACACGTATACGTTTCTGTCCGGCCCATTCATATTCTTCGTATTCCTCGCCAGGTTCATCATCGTTACTGGAATGATCATCGGCACTGTTGCTGCGTCCATTTGCGGTGCGATTACTGCGACGCAAACACTCTTCGGCATGTTGTTGGATTTCATCTTGGGGGAAATTTACATTACACACAGGGCATGGATGTTCGGGTAGGACAGGACGTTTGCGGTTACGCTAAATAAAAGAAACAACAACAACAAGAGAAAATAGCAAAACTTGAATTTTACAACATCCTCTTCAAATGAAGCCATACAAAAAGAGATTGTTCTTCTACTCACCTTCATGCGTGACTGGCGGTTCCTTTGTACCCTTTGAAATACTGACCAGGGTTTACGTTTTTCATTGGCTGTTGCTGTTGTCGAAGATGATGATGATGTGGTTCCGGCATCATTTGATGATGATGTTGCCGTGTCCTCATGAGGATCCAATAGCTCATCCGAGGCAGTACTACGCATTGCTATCGCCGTTGTTGTTGTTATTGGCGTTTGTTTGAGACGTTGCATTTCTTCATTGACATGACCAGCCACTTCATGGGGCAACAATTTCTTATCACAATTTGGACATTCTATTGTCCCACCACTAACACTACCATTTCCCGGTTTCAATAAAGACAATGTTGATGATGGTATCGCCGCATTTGTTGTTATTGTTGTTGCTGTTACTGTTGTTGTTTTTGTGGTGATTAAATCTCTTGGCGTTTGTGCAGCAGCCATGGATGGATGGGATGGATTCTCGTCACTCACTCACAGTCAAATTCTTACAATTTCCATATGACAAGAATTAAATAATTAACACAATTAGCTAGGTAGACTTCGATATCGTTGTTTATTATTTCACAATTTGCAATATTTTGTTGATTGTTTAGATTTTTTGTGATTCTTTCGCAGTTTTTCAAATAAAGGCCAGCCAAAAGCTGCTGCTGTCAATGGGGCAGGGTTGCCATTACTATGGAATTTTTATTTACGAATAAGGTGTCAAAAAGTAACAAGAATAATTATGAATTTGGTTGCAAATGGAAGAATGCAAGATTAACGTTTCTTCTTCTTTAAATCGGTTAAAGTACTCACTGGGAATTGATAACAATACGACTAGAGTAGCATGGCGATACATTAAATTGCTAAACATATGTTTTTTTTTTTAAATAAATTTTAGCGTTATTTTGTATAAAACTTTTTAGAGAAATATTGCCAGGTCTTAAAAATTAATGGTATAGATGGATGAAATAAATTTTCCTTTGATTTCGTTGCTATTCATCGTGTTTTGATAACGAATTGAAATTGAAAAGAATTAATGCAAGATTAATGTTTCTTCTTCTTTAAATCAATTATAGTATTCACTAAGGATTGATAGCAAAACGTACATAACACTAAAGTATTACGGCGATACAGGGTTATTTTAAAAGGAATCGTTTAAATACATATATTGTCAGGTCCTGCGCTATTCATCGTGAGTTGATAACATAAGAATATGGATCTTATAGTACATTTACATTGTGCTTAAATTGTCAATTCCATACCATATATGTCAAATAAATTGATAAAGCAAATGAAATCGGTAATTCTGATTTACGTTATCACTCGGTTAAATCAAAATAGAAATAATTTGCACGCATAAAAATTATTGATATCGGTCCACTTTTGAGGATAGTCCCCATATAACATTAGCCCCCAATATTCTGTATTTTAGACACATTTTTCAGCCAAATTAGTTGTAATTTGTTACTTTGAGTTCCCATTGGCTGCCAAATCTTCATAGTGAAAACTACCGATATCGGTCCACTTTTTATGATAGACCCCATATAACGTTTCCATCATTATTCGGTATTTTTGGGGATTTTCGGTACGTCTTACCGAATTACTTGTAATTTGATAATTTGAGTTTCCATTGGGTAGCAAATATCCATACTAAAAATTATTAATATCGATCAATTTTTTTGGATAGCTCCCATATAGCGGTACCCCAAAATAATCGATATTTTGGAAATTTTGGCACGTTTTTTGGTACTTTGAATTCTCATCGGGAAGCAGACCTTTCAACAAAAAATTATCAATATTTATTCACCTTTTAAGGTAGCCCTCATAAAATGGTACCTCCCATTATTCGGTATTTTGGGAAGTTTGGACAAATTTTTAAACCGAAATGGCTGATATTTCTTAACCGCATTGGCTCTTTGGTACTTTGAGTTTGCATTGGGTTGCTAATCTCCCTACCAAAAACTATTGATATCGGCCCACTTTTGAGGATAGTCTGCATAAAGTGGCAGCACTTAATATTCAGTATTTCGGAAACATTGTGTTAGGTTTTTAACCGAATTGTCTGTTGTTTGGTTCTTTGAGCTCCCATAAGGTAGCAATTCCGATCTGCGATTGGCTTCGGTCCTGACTACCGGAGCGCTAAGAGTAATAGTAACATAGAAGGGAACGAGATAGCCCACGATCTTGCTCGAAGGGGCTCAAAATTGTCCAATCTTCCTATTGAGAGATCTGTGCAACCACCCATTGGCTATTTCATTGGCAACATCCGTTTGTTCTACGGCGAGGTAGTCGGTAACAGATGATCGAGAGAACCTGGTTGCAGAATCTCAAAAGCTATCTGGCCTCAATTCTCTCGCCGAAGAACTTCTTCGCTATTGGCACATAATAAAAGAGAGATCAAAATCATTGTGGGGATCATAACAGGTCACTAAAAGATTAAATCTCTCACTTCGAAATGGGACTCCAGCGGAGAGGATTACTGTCGTCTATGTGAGGACAAAGAACAGCTAGAAACAATTGAACATAACCTCTGTAGACATCCATCGCTGATTGGCAGAATACATAAACAGTATGGAAGATATGAAATTGATAATCTAGCCTTAACATATGGTCTGCTCCCGTACTGCAAGAATCTACAACTTTTTACTGCGATAACAAATTTTCATTTATGATATCGAAGAAAATAGTAAAATCGAGTAGATTCTTGCAGTACGGGAACAGACCAATAGGTAGCAATTTTTCCTATTAAAAAAATTTATTGATATCGGTCTACTTTTTAGGATAGTTCCATATAGCTGTATTATTATATCGTGTTTTGGGAATTTTGGACACGTTTTCTATCCGAATTGCCACAAATTTTCTTCCTACCAACAATTAACCATGGCATAGACCGTCAAGGTCCCAAACGATTATGGGTATTTCAAATGTCCAACTGAACAACATTTTTGGTCTGCTTCCCTTACTGCAAGAATCTTCTAATTTTTACGATGTTTTGATATCATAAATGGTCTGTTCCCGTACTGCAAGAATCTACTATTTTTTACTCCGATAACACTTTTTTCCTTTATGATATCGAAAAAAATAGTAAAATCGAGTAGATTCTTGCAGTACGGGAAAAGACCAAAAGAAA